ACAAGCCAGGGAGGACAATTCCTTACGTACATAAGAACAAAAGAAAGAAGGAACACTGCAACAGGCCTACTGACCCATGTGGAGCAGGTCCATGTCCCCTGGATAGGCCCAATGACCCACCCCTCCCGGATTAGCCCAATGACCCACCCAGCCTGGTCACCTCCACTCAAGGATGGAGCATGGCACCAGACCCAGCAGCACAAGCTAGTCAGGTCCAACTCACACCCACCCACAACCACTCGTGTATTTATCTAACCTATTTTTAAAACTACACAATGTTTTAGCCTGAATAACTGTACTCGGGAGTTTGTTCCACATGCGATATATTTTGTATTATTCCATTGTTTTTAGTGCTTGTAACTGCTAAATAAGCCACCATCGGCCCAAAGAAAGCTTCTAGTGCCAGCCCTGTGGTAAAGAAGGAAAGAAGCACAATAGAATTCAAGAAAAAACTCGTAGCAAAGTACCAAAGTGAAGGAGGAAGAGAGAGGGGTGAATGTGCCTTCTGCAGTGATTCAGTGATTCTACGATATGCATGATACTAAAGTAGCAGGTATCGATAAAGGCTATAGTGCCAGCCAGTGATAAAGTGTAGAATTAACAGTGTAGCAAGTAAGTTAAGCGAGTAAGTGATAGATAAAGACACGAAAGTAACTCTCCAATGTTGCTGAATGTGCATTGGGCCAATGAACATACGACCCCTGCTACGTATCTTCCACTACCCTAAACCTCTGCCAGTATCTCCTCCACCAAACTAATTAAGCTAACATTTCCTCCAAGGTAAGTGTAAATATAAAAGGACCCCAATGGAAATACGTAAGTCACTGACTTTTTTGAGTTGTCCTATGTAATTTACACCTATGCTGCTATGTATGATAATTTATGTACGTAACTATCTGTGTATACCTGAATAAACTTACTTATTTATAAATTAAAATGTAAATATTTCTTATTTATAAATTACATACATTGTTTAAGTGTGATAGTGTTGGTGGGTTCTGCTGGTGCCTCCACCATCACCACCACTATGTACGGCTTCTCTCAGTGGCCCTTATAAACCCAACAACAACACTTCCACCACTTTACTCCTCTCATACATTATGACATATTTTATTCATTCTAGAGTATATATCATGTTTCTATGTTATTAATATTGTTTATTATGTCATATTAGATGAATTGTGATAGATAAATAAGCTGTAAAGATGATATTAGCGTCATATTGAAACATAAACTCATCTCCCTCTTGCCTCCTACCTGTCTCCCATACACCAACAAGAGTCAATAAAGGTAAGTGTGATGCTAAATGTTCATTTATCTATTTTATTAGTGCTTTATATTTATTTGTTATTGTTTTCTGTATGTATATCTATATTTAATCTTTAAAAAAAAATTTTGTTGTTAATACTTTTGGCTGTCTGAAACAGATTAATTGCATTTCCATTATTTCTTATGGGGAAAATTAATTCGGCTAATGGCAAAATCGGTTAAAGGCAAGTTCTCTGGAATGGATTAATCCCGTTACCCAAGGGTCCACTGTAAATCATACTGTAAATTTGTTTTAAATTGTTCTACTGCAATTCAGTGGAACCTTGGTTTTCGTCTCTAATTTATTCCAGAGTGTCTGACGAAAACTGAAGCAATATTTCCCATAAGAAATAATGTAAATCCAATTAATCCATTCCAGACACCCAAAAATATTAACAAAAAATATATTTTATAGAGAATAACTATAGTTTTACATACAGAAAACCAGAGAAATAAATATAAAGCACTAATGAAATGGATAAATGAACATTTAAATCACTTTTACCTTCATTGAAGACTCTTGTTGGCTTATGGAAAACGGCAAGGACGGGAGAGGGAGGAGAGGGTATCTCTACCACCATCACTACCACCTTCAACCACCATCACTACCACCCTCAACCACCATCACTACCACTCTTTACCACAATCATTACCACCCTCTACCACCATCACAACCAATATCACCCTCTACCACAATCACAACCAATACCACACTCTACCACCATCACAACCACTACCACCCTCTACCACCATCACTACCACCTTCAACCACCATCACTACCACTCTCAACCACCACTACCACTCTTTACCATAATCATTACCACTCTCTACCACCATCACAACCAATATCACCCTCTACCACCATCACAACCAATACCACACTCTACCACCATCACAACCAATACCACACTCTACCACCATCACAACCAATACCACACTCTACCACCATCACAACCAATACCACACTCTACCACCATCACAACCAATACCACACTCTACCACCATCACAACCAATACCACACTCTACCACCATCACAACCACTACCACCCTCTACTGCCATCACTACCACCCTCTACCACCATCACTACCACCCTCTACCACCATCACTTCCACCAACACAATCACTGCCACCCTCTACCATCATCACAATCACTACCACCCTCTACCATCATCACAACCACTACCACCCTCTACCACCATCACTACCACCCTCTACCACAATTACTACCACTACCACCCTCTACCACCATCGAATTCTATTGTTTCTTGCCTTCTTTATCAAAGGGCTGGCACTCAGAACTTTCTTTGGCCCCATAGTAGCTTATTTAGCAGTTGCACTCAATAAACAAGCACAAAAAACAATGGATTATTATGAAATGTTTCGTATGAATGCACAGGGTAGTGTTCACTCGACGAGAAACAAAGCCAGACTGACTCAGAATGCATGCATGGGATTCTTTGCGTGAACGCAGGCAGACATGCACGTTCAGTACAGCGGACAAAAACCAAGGTGATGAACGAAAACTGGGACAATATTTTGATGAAAAAAATCGACAAAAACTGAATTCGATGAAAACCAGGGCAAACGAGAACTGAGGTGCCACTGTACTGTAATTTTTATAAACTAATTCAATAGTGTAATTATTCTATACCGAACTTCTCTACTAGACTTATTAAAGCCATATAGCATTACCTAATAATACTCATTTCTCTTATACTCACTGTAACTCATCTAATGACCATATGAACTGTTATTGCCTTATTAATCTTAAGTTAATTTTAAGTTTGCCCGAAATGCTCTGCACACAAAGGGGCTTTTAGCATGTACACCCAACTATTATTTTCCTTTGTACAACCATGTATCATGTCAAAATAAATTTTTTATTATTATTATTATGATGATTATTAAGATATATTTACAGATAATTATGTCCTAGAATCTGCATTGATAAAGCCACTGGATGGCGAAACGTCTACAATAAAGATACCCAGATGTTGCACGTGTCTCAGTTTTCATCTTGTCGGTATTGTATACCATTCTTGTACAACTTGTCAGACACTGCAACATCATGGAATCTTGGTTCAAAGGACATCTACATGATCTTCTTCATGGCTACTACAACTACTACTACTACAACTTACCTTGGGTATGACCTACTTCCACTGGCAAATCCCGCCTACCAGTGACTATGCCCTTGTCTGCTACCTGTCCCAATCCACCTGGCGTTAGTATATAAGCGCCAGTCTCCTTGCCTCTGCTCCAGAATCTTCACAACTACAGTGCTCTTCACACCAATTCTGAGGCTGAGGGACTGATTACCTCATCTTCTGTATATAGTTCTACTGTCTTCAAATTATGCCCTAGAATCTGTATTGATAAAGCCACTGGATGGCAAAACGTCTACAATAAAGATACCCAGATGTTGCACACGTGTCTCAGTTTTCATCTTGTTGGTATTGTATACCATTCTTGTACAATATTAAGGATGGATGACACAAACCCACTACCATTATAGTATGCTCCTCACTTAGCAATGAATTTGTTTACTGACATGGTCTTAGAAAAGGAACTCAGTCGTTAAGTGAGGAGAGGCTGTAGTTGTAAATGACGTTAATTTAACCATGCTTTGACAAATACAATACTCAGGTAATTTATTTAGTGTTAATCAAATTACAGATATGTGAGCATGCAGTTCAGTTTTTTCATTTTGTTTTCAATACTAAATATTGTTAGTAGCCAAAAGAAGAGAAAAGCAAATATGCACAGACAGTATAGTATAAAAACTCAAAGTTATACCAGTATGCATCATGACTAAAAATATAAGATTAAAAACCTAAGAAATGTGTGACGTTAAATGCTGTCACATGGTGACAAAAGCATTATTTGCAAACAAAAGAAAAGAAAAGCCAAAGGATGCTGGCTACACACTAGAACAGCACAGCTACTTGGTATACAGTACATACATAATCATTTTACCATAAGTTAAAGATGTTATATGAAAAAAAAGCATCTCATGGCAATCTAACAAATGTTACTTGTCGCAAACTTTAGTGGAACAAACATTTGTATAGGGTGTGAGGCATGGTCTATTCTGCAATGAGGAGGGGGCTGGAGTCAGTGTAGATATTATTTCTGAGATTAATGTGTGATGTAAATACTGTGCAAAGAATAAAGAGCAGAGATATTAGAAGATAGGGTGGTGGAATGAAGGGTATAATTCAGAGAGCAAGGAAGAAGTTGAGATGATTTGGTCATTAAGAAAAAATGAAGTAGAATAGGTTGATCAAGAGCATGTATAAATCTTAGAGGTGGATGGGAGGAGGGGTGAGGGATGGACCCAGAAGGGTTAGTAGGAGGTGAAGGAGGCTTCAAGCGGCAGGAGGCTTGAGCATGCATGCATGCATGTGCATGTGTGGGCATGCACATACTTTTTTTTTTAAATTGGAGATGGTCACAAGTATTTCTGGAGTGTTGGCTAGATAGAGTTCCATAAGTGGGAAGAACAGTACCTCCACTCAGAAAGATGAGTGGGGATAATTCAGTTGAAAAGTGATGTCTGTGCACTTCTGGTAAGACAGCTATTGAATAAACAATGGTGAGTGAAAAAGGGAGATCTGGTATTTTTTTATTCATTTATGACTGAGCCAATGATATTAAAGCAACTACAATGATCAATATCACATACTCACATTAAGTGAAGGCGTGCTAACAGGAAGGAGGAGGTTAGCAGAAACAGAAGAGCCAGTATCCACAGCGGTAGTAGTAGTAGTAGTAGCAGAAGTAGCAACAGTGCCCACTTGAATGTCAATTTTGGCCCTCTTGCTAGATGGAGGTGTAAACAGAGGGTTGATATCACCAGCTTGAGCCCTGTAATACAACATGCTACTCACGAAAATGCTACATTTGCTCCTCATGCACAGCTTAAAACATGCCACCATTCATATGACTATTTAATCTGTACGAAAGTCTAAACTTTTATTTAATCGTTAAACTGTCCAAACACAGATCTATGTTTATGCGCATAGCGCTCCGACCTTGATTTCCCCCATTTGAAAACATTCAAAAAAGACGTAGATCTACGTTTGGAGCGCTATGCAAGCGAACGTAGATCTATGTTTGGACAATTTAGGGGTTAAAGAAAGTAACATCAGGAAATAATGATAAAACTTACAAATGAAGAATGGCGTATCAAACTCTGCTTATGAAATAACCTTATTCTCCATTTTTGTGCGCCACCACCACAATTTCAAAGCACATTTTCAGTGAACATGCCTATTACTCGGTTTATACAGTGGAGTATGTCAAAGGGAAAATGTGGCACGCGCCAAGTTCTGTGCTGCTTCTTCGCGCGGTAAGTGTAGAGGAAGAGTCCAGTGTCCTAAGCGGGAAGCCACAGACAACCCATGCCACTCATCCCTTAGAGCCTCCATTCACACCACTCCCCCAGAGCTTTCATTCACACCACTCCCCCAGAGCCTCCATTCACACCACTCCCTCCCAGCCTTCATTTACACCACTCCCCCACAGCCTTCATTCACACCACTCCCCCACAGCCACCATTCACACCACTCCTCCACAGCTTCAAGCCCCCACAGCCCTACTCCCAAAGCCTCACGTCAACACCTTACCCATACTGTCACAGCCCACATGCTCTAATACGCCATTCACAAACCTAGTCATGTAGCCATCCAATACTCCCACACCACCAACAATACGCTCACCCACCCAGTCATCCAAGCTGGACCACCCACACCGTCACTATCACACTGCCTTATTGCTTCCAGCCACCACATCCCACCACCAGCCTCCAGCTCCTGCTTCCACTGCTTGGTCTTTACCTCCCACACCAGCAGCCCCCAATCCCTACCCCAACATTGAACCATCTCACCTCAGCCACTTTAACCCCTTTTGTGTACACCTCATACACTACACCCCAATGAGTGGGATATCCAAACCATAAAATACCTTTGTCTGCTAGCAGAGATGTTGATGTGGGATTTTTGACTGACACTCATCACAACATTAACTTACAATTAAGCTATCATGTTTTTTTTAAATTTCAAGACTTTTTTTTTTTTTTTTTTTTTTTTTTTTTGAGGCTTCTTGGGGTCAAAGAAATGTAACACTTTTTCTCATGCGTTCTTCAGTTCATTTAATGTGATTTTTTTATTAATGTCATTAACATGGTAGTTACTTTAACTACCATGTTAACTGACGATCAACTGTATCAAAATCAGCCAAACAAATCATACATTTACTTTATCACAAAAATCAACAAATACTAACATTCTTTTTTTTAACACCAAAGTCATCTCCCACCAAGCAGGGTGACCCGAAAAAGAAGAAACTAAAGTTTTTCTTCCTTTCACATTTAGTACAGAAGGGGTTACTAACCCCTTGCTCCCAACATTTTAATCGCTTCTTACAACACACATGGCTTATGGAGGAAGAATCCTTTTCAACTTCCTCATGGAGAAATACTAACATAACATGCATTATACCAAGTAATCATCAAGTTAATAAGAAAAAAAATCAACACACCTTGTAGATTCGAGGCAAAGTTCAAATGCATCGGCTGATTTGCGTTTTCGTGGCGATGGTTCATTTACAGGCATTGGGGAAAGGGCTATACCAGGATGTAAGTGTAGGGAGTCCAGCTCCTCAGCACTTCCCATGGCTCGATGAGGAGAAGTTGAGCCAGCCCTCGTGTGCCCAACAACACGCCGTAATCCTGTCATCAGCCCTGGGTTGGGCAAATGTTTTGTTAGTGGGATGGATTGTTAAGGACCTGCCTAGTATGAGCCAACAGGCCTGTTGCAGTGTTCCTCCTTTGTTATATTCTTATGTTCTTATAAGAATAAACATGCAACTCCTGCTTGTTTGCAAAGAGTCACAGCTCATGGGACCTGCCTCTTAACTTCAGTCTTAATCTCAGTCATTCCCTGTGCTTCTACTTTCTGCCTTCTAACTGAACCCATTATTTTCCAGAGTGTGGAGCACATAAATTACCACTTTAAGAAAGGCATAATCAAGATGCTTAACTGAGGGACTACAGAAATGAGCATCAAATCAATGTGACTGAGGACAAATGTGCTACTTTGCAGTAATAACAGGAATATCGAGACATGAACTACTGCATGTTACACAAATAACCCGCACATAAAAGAGAGAAGCTTACGATGACGTTTCGGTCCGACTTGGACCATTTACAAAGTCACACTTTGTAAATGGTCCAAGTCAGACCGAAACGTCGTCGTAAGCTTCTCTCTTTTATGTGCGGGTTATTTGTGTATCGTTCCAGTCACGGTATTGTGCCTTTTTTTGTTATTTACTGCATGTTACTTGGCTATGCAAGTCAGCAATGGAAGTTGCAAAATATAGATGTCCATTTGGACTTTCATTATTCACTCTTAGAATATAAATGAAACTAAAGCATTATGTAATATAAATTTTAATTACGTATCTTCAGGTAATCATTCAAAAGAGAGAATCTGTAACATCACTGTGCACTGCTTTAATTACTGACTATGTAAAGATTCACTCCGACGTTTTTTTCTGGTTGTAGGATGTGACTGGGCAGACAAAAGGTTTTCTGTTGACTGACTTTTGTCTTGATTCTGGAGAGCCAGTAACACACTGCTAGGCAGACGGCACACCAGTGAACCATTCTCAATCAGCAACTGTGTGCAGGAAAAATTGTACTGTATTATTAACATATCCCATTAGAGGGCAGTATAGTACTTTTAAATTTTATCTATTACATTTACTGACTTTTAGTTCACTTACAGCAGGTAATACAGTAGACAGACTATTTATATGACCATTCACTTAAAATAGGTTTCTATGATAATAATTCTACATTCAAGAAAATTACAACAACAGTACACACAATACAGTACATGTATTAAGAATTTAGCATTTATAAGTTAAACACCTCTGATGCACAACACAAAAATACATTTGTCTACTGAAGTACAGAATCATGGTACAGTTCAGAGTATAACTGTAATCAGAGTGTTCAGACTTGTAAGAAAAGTGTAAGGAATAAGAAAAATTTTTGGAAGATAAAGGGAATGAAATTTTTTTGAACTAAAAATTGTCATTTAATATATAGTAGTAATATAGTGCTAAATAATTTAATGAAATAAATAATGTAACATTTTGTTTGTTTGAATGTAAGGAAGCACGTGCAAGATAAACAAAGTAATCATGCCTACATAAAATATGGCATTACAAAATCAAAAACAATATGTAGTCTATTACATTAAATATGCTTCCCTTGCATGAAGAGAACTGAGAGGTAGTAATTGTTTCCTATGCCAGCATATCTTGCAGCATTTTTTTTTTTTAATAATGTTGAATTTTGTACATACAAAGTAAATGTTCACTACTCAATCTACTTTCTTCCATCTGGATTACTATTAATTGCCCACTTGCCGTTCCAGATATATCAAACAATTATATAACTACTAGGAATGCAAGATAATGTTTGAAAGATTATGAGGAGAAAAAATCTAACTAAAATAAGACTATTTAATATAACCTAAAATAAGACTAAAGAAATAGTAAATAATTTTTACTTGTTACACTTACACTCACAAACAAGCCATACTTTTCTATGCACTAACACACAAACAATGCTTTTGTCTGCTAAGCATCAGCCATCCCAAAACCACTAAGTAATGAGATAGCTATTCATTCATATACAGCCTCTCCTCACTTAGTGACAGAGTTCCGTTCCTGAGACCACGTCATTAAACGAATTCATCACTAAGTGAGGAGCATACTATAATGGTAATGAGTTTGTGTCAACCATCTCTGATATTGTTTTAATGTCACCTTTGCACCATTTATAAAATTTCTGGTATATTTTTAAATGTCTATACAGTAGTGTACTGTATATTGAAATAAACAGAAAAGAGGAAATCGGCTCTAATATACATTATTTATGTATGAATACTGGTCAGAGAGCCCGTTGTAAGTCCAAGGCATCAGTAAACAAGTACAAGTCGCTAAGTGAGGAGAGGCTGTATTCCAAGTGGCGCAATGTTGGGCTAAGTATTTCCTCATGTTTGAAGTGTTAAAATATCTTTAAACACATCAGATATCATATGAAACTAGTGTACATAGTGTTAAACATTAAAAGCAATTAGAAAACAAAATCATATATTGACATCAATTGCAAAGCACAAATTTCGCTGTCACATTTATGTTGCTGTTGCCAATGAGTGATCGCTTTTTTTGCCAACTTGAACACACAGTAATATCACAAATTTTTAGCAGATTCTCCTCGTCTTAGTCTTGTTCAATTCAGAAAAAATGCACTCTTTCATTCTATAAGAAAATAGATTACTTTTTTCCAAAATCTCTTCCCTCACACAGAGGAATTTTTAATTGTGAGTATGCCACAGTTTAGGGTTGAAACATTGTTTAGCAAAAGAGTTGCTCAAGTCTTCTTGTGTACCAACTCTTTTGCTAAACAACTGGTTGGTATGCCCTTCTTCCACTAGTGGGCCATTCTTACCTGTGACATTACCTTCAGCTACTTCACATCGCTTTATCTTCAGTATGTAAGGTCTAACTGCAAACCTATGCTTTAGGCTTGAGGGACTGATACCACCTTCTAAGGATGAGGAACTGATCATCTCAAAACTACTACTACTACTACTGGTTTCTAGCATTATATTCGTAATCGAGTGAAGAAGCCTGTTGTGCTTTTTTCAAAGGAAGTGTCACAATGATTTAGGGTTGAATAAATGTTAATTTGCCAATTTTATCCAACCAAATGGGTTTCTGTGAAACTGTAAAATGGGGTTTCTCACTTTAACCCCTAAATGGTCCAAACGTATATATACGTTCTTACCGCCAGCGCCCCAAACGTTAATGTTTTATTTTTCCTGCCTCCAAATTTGGCACGATCAGCCTGAGATGCCTGGTCAGCATAGAATGGGTCTTAACACTCGGTGTGCGCAGTATTATAAAAATCTGGGACAACTTAGTACCTTGTGGGAGCGCCAGTTAAACTGAGCGCCAGCTAGAGAAAACAGCACGGCAAAAGTTAAGGACTCACTGATGTCATGTCATATTAACACCCCTTTTAAGAGGAAAGTGATGCTGACCCCAAGTTTAGTGGCTTTGAGGTGAATGTGGCCACAAGTGGTCATGGAAATATAAAAAATCTTGATAATAACTCATGTGCAACATTTGTGCAACACCCTTTCACAATGTCCTATAATCTATGCTCTAAGTAAAGAAAAACAATTCTGGAACATATAATAACTGTTAGGCTGGCTGTCTGCTGGCTGACCGGCTCTATCTCCATCTGTCTGTCTGTCTGTATCTATGTCTATCTCTGTCTGTCTGCCTCTATCTCTGTCTCTGTCAATCTCTGTCTCACAGGTACACACAAATACAATTATACATAATGTAAATTACCTAGGATAACCCAAAAAATCCAAAGTGGTATACTGTGCTTGAAGATATAATGCGTAAGAATACCTGTTGGTTCACAGTGGCTCTCTGAGACGGAGACAAGCAGAGTGATGGAAAGAGAGACAAGCAGACACAGATAAGCAAAGACAGAGATGCCGACGCTCATCAAATGTCACCCCTTATCTCATCTTATCACTGCACCCTCGCCAGTGCTCATCAAATGTCACCCCTTATCTCATCTTATCACTGCACCCTGCATGGGCTCATAAAATGTCACCACTTATCTTATCACTGCACCCTTGCAATGCTCATCAAATGTTGCCACTTATCACTGCACTATCAGCAGAGGACTGACACTCGTCTTACATCATGCTTCAAGAGAACTTATTATTATTATTATATACTCCCATATGTCCAAAACATTGCTGGGACCTATAAATACTTTGTATATATTCCTAGACAATAGTAAATGACCAAGGCAGGTATAAATGTCCACCAGTCATTGTGTTTGTGACAATTTGAGTACAATTTCAGTACCTAATATTAATGTCTGAACAAAGATTAGTTATGAAATCACAACAACTACTATAAATTGTAATTATCAGAATATAAAAATTATATAAAATATAAAAATGAGAAAAAAAAAGGTACATCGCTAACACTTCTGCAAGCAGCAGGACTCTATTTTGCCGCCAGGTGAGCATTAAGTGCCAACTTCTCAGTCTCATCTTTTTTAGTACGAGGTTTGAAGTGGTGTTGGGGTGTGTAGTTGGCAAACTGTTATTCTTATTGAAGAAATTGTGATATTAGTTTCCAGGCAATAACTTGTGAAGACTTCATCTGACTGGCTTCAAATCTTCAATGCTGACAGTTAAGTGCATTAGAAAATATGGAGGACTACTCTTATTCATTTTGTGTGCATAAAAGTAGACGAAAAGTAGATGAATGGTTTTTTGAACTTGACGAGCTGTTGGAGTGTGAGCAGGGTAATATTTTATGGGGGAATTCGAGGAAACTGGTTAGCTGTACTTGAGCTCTGGAGGTGTGAAGTACAATGTCTGCACTTTAAAGGTGGGGTTCGGGATATTTGCTGTTTGGAGTGACATCTGAACTGTCATTTGAATGCCTCTGCAAACACAATGATTATGCATCAATGATGGTGAAAGTGTTTCTTCCTTTCTTTTTTTATGTCACCCTGCCTCGGTGGGAGACGGCCAGCACGTTCGGAAAAAAAAAAAGTTGATAGGGATAGGGCTTTTCGGGTACAGTGGATACCTTTCTCCAACTGCACAATAGCATCTAGTTACTATACTTATGGTACAATGCTAACTCTGTAGGCATCATAGAGCACCAGGTAAATTGATGGTAATCAAGTTTGATCCAAGGAAATAAAGGGTAGCTCCAATTACCTTAATCATGAGCCTTCACTAACATCAATGCACCTTCTTTAAATGGTCAGTAGCTGATGTAGAGGTTGAAAATGAAGTCAGCATTTACTTTGACAAATGGGACCATCCACCAAGGAGAGCCAGAACTCATGATTTTGTTTTTTTTCAACACATCAGCCATCTCCCACCGAGGCAGGGTGACCCAAAAAAGAAAGATACACTTTCACCATTATTCACACACAATCACGGTCTTTGCAGAGGTGCCCAGATATGACAGTTCAGATGTCACTCCAAAGGGCCAATATCCCAAATCCCTCCTTTAACCCTTTGACTGTTACGGTCGTATATATGCAGGTACCATCCGACTTACGACCAAGCTTTGTTCCGACCAACTGGTCGTAAGTCAAAACAGACGTAAGTCGAACCTTTGAAAATTGCCGACATACTGGGTAGGGCATAATGTCAAACCTTTCCTATATAAACTACCTACATAGTACTGTAATGTAATGTACAATCATTATTTCATTCTTTTTACCATAATTTACTTCTATTGTTATATTTTAATTATTTATGTACTGTATATAATGTATACATGGTAGTGAACTGTACTGTAAATTTTACATCGCATATAGTGTCATATGTTAATGTTATCTTTATGTACTGTCGACACAGTGGAATGGGAGAATACCACTGGTAGTGTCATCCTGCCAGAATGCAGTATAACCTATACCCTAAGTAAAGAGAAACAACTCTGGAACATGTGTAATACATATCCGGCTGGCTGACTGGCTGACTGAATGTGGCTCTCTCTCTCTCTCTCTCTCTCTCTCTCTCTCTCACACACACAGGTACATGTAAGT